TTGAATAATTCTAATAAAACAGATTTTTATACGAAGTGACAAAAATATCTGAAGGTGGAAAATATTTTGAGAGAACTATACTACTCATTAGTAGTCAAAACAATATATCTAAATTAGTATGTATTTCTTGAAGAATGAATCGTTAGTGTGATATGGCATTCGAACCTAAAAAGAAACCTTTATCATATTCGAATTCAAAATATTTATTTATTTGCCCACATAACGTTTTATTATTATTGTGCGAGAAATTTTAGACGGAAACTCTAATCTATTTTTAGATGAACTTTTGTTTGATTGTTGTTTATTTCTTATTGGACTTTTTTGGATGAAGAAGCGTAAAGCTGACTCAACAGTAATTAGACCATTAAAACGATTGAAGTAAGCTCAAAAATCACTGAATAATAAAAAAATGATAGATTTAATGGTTAGAATGAAATAATGACTACATAACAGTATAGTATTTTTCCTTATTTTTTTACTCAAAATTACTTCAATATTAAATACAACTGATCATAAAGTGTATCCAGGTGGGATATACTATTTTCATGTAACCCTACATGATATATATATATATATATATATATATATATATATATTAGAATAGTGTGAATTTTTCACAGCACAGAATGTCTATAAAATACTTGAACACGGCCTTAAAAATATTAACAATCTTTTGAATCAACAAACAATTATGATGGTGAACGAAAACCATAGTTAATTTTTGCTATGTATGGTGGAGAAGATTTGTAACTCAGGTAGATAATTTCGATGGAGTTTTGTTTTCTGAGTTGGATGGTTTAGTCGTAGAGCTTTCATCTTTCTTCTGAATAACATCATCAGTACAAACATTAGACTTCTATCAGAAGTTTAACAAAACTCCATCAAAATTTACTACGTATATTTATTTAGTAAATTATTCATTCATCATTTTCTGTCTATAACCATTGGAAATAAGTTTCTATTATGGGAACCAGGAGTTATTTACTGATTGATTCAAATATATTGATTTATTCCAAATAAATGCTAACTACTAAAACAGAATCTGTACATAAATTATGCAAATGTCAATTCTTTTTGTTGACTTATATTTTATAATGCATCACTGAATATTCCATTTATTTTTTATTCGACCCACTTATTTCTCATAGTGATTAAAAGAAACTTAATATATCCCACATTTTTTCATCATACATTCTCCCTGTATATATGGATTGTTTGTTGTTGAAAATAATAGACTTATTTATAATGTCACCCAATCAAATTATCATAACATAAACAGTATTATATTTTAGATTAGACTGTCAGATTCGAGCAACCAAAATTTTGGCGATTTAATATGTTGTTTGTTTGTGTTATCAAACAAATTGCTTTTTGTTTTTCAAATTAGACTAAACATATTGTATAATGCTTACGATTACAGGAAAGGAAATATACTGTCGGATTAGATTTTAACATCTATTAAAATTATAAGGAGGAATGAATTCACTAACTGATCCTCTTATCGTTTTACACCTAATCAATTAAAAAATATCATTTAATTGGATAGGATTTTTGGAAAAGTTTAGTTTCTTGCCTCTTGAAATAATTCTGTGGAATGTTATCGTTCATTGATAACACATATATTAGTTGTTGTGTTATTACTTAAGCTATATAACTAAAGAGTTGACTTTGATTCACTGGTCATTTTATGGTATGCGCTAGTTATATACACATAAGTGGTATATAACAATAATCAGGAACAGAATATATTTCAGTAGAAGGTCGAAAAGGAAAAATAGAGAACAGAAAGCAATTGCAATAAAAATGCAGAAACAATGAAATCTGAGACAATGGATTGATATTCAGAAAAGAAACAGTCAAATTTGAGATAATAGATTGATATTTTGCAAATTAAGTATTGACTGTTTGCCTCTCAGATTTTAGTGAGATATTCTGTAATTATATGTTTAATTACATTCGGTTGTCCCTACTTATGTTCTTGTTCACTACAATTTCAGTTTGTCCTACTGATAAACAATTAAATGAGAATGATATGGTGGAAAATGATTCATTATTTTAGTTATTTCAAACCCGTCTAACAGCTAATGTTTAAGTTAGAAAATATCTTCCCTCAAATTGTTTAACAGTCTATAAAATTTTATAAATAGTGCGACAAAATGTAAAATTTTTAATTAATAAATACTTCTTTACTTATATAAAGTGAGCAAAGTGTTTAGGTGGTTTTAATTCCTGAGTTCGAGCTCTTAGGTGATTTAAAGTATGAATACTCTGTGAATGTTCTTCAAAAAGTCAATGTTGAAATCAATCACTACGAATTACAATACTAAAGTAAAGAAAAAATGATGGAATAATTCCTTTTTTTTAAATAAATGACGATTCCTACAAATTATTCTGACATATTTAATAAGCTGTACTAGATGGTGGTTGGAGGTAGTCGACAGGAAACCATGGACCCGAGTTTCGTGCTACTTGGCACTCTTCAGCAAGGTGTACCTGTAATCTTGAGGGAACTGGTGCTTCCTGACGGTTTTGATCCCGTGTCACCCAGCTTCATAGTCAGAGACGTTACCACTGGGTTATCCGGAACGTGACCGACCTCTTGTAGGACTGAGATATAATCACAATTGATTGATCACTGGATGGTGATCAGTGTCATGTGTGTCAAGTCTTTCTTGATGTAGATCAAATGCTATCGACCAAGTAACCAAGTAGCACGAAACCCGGGTTTAGGGTTTCCTGTCGACTACCTCCAACCATCATCTAATCTCAACATAGTGCACGCAATGTCGAGTCACCTAGACTAATGGCCACATTGCAACTTGGTCGATAGCATTCGATCTTCACTAAGAAGGACTTGACACACATGACATTGATCATCACCTAGTGATCAATCAATTTTGAATAAGCTGTATGTCTTTTTGAAAAAAGAGAAGAAATAGATATGAAAAACAAACAATCAGACAATGTAGATTAAGCAGATAAACACAGAATCTAAAATTAATAATAATTTCTCAGTGTCCATCAAAAAAAAAAACAACAGACGATAACACAGCATCTGGAACATCCATCATCATTACTCAGATGCTTGCTATCATTATTAGTGAAAGATATAAAAAAATCAAGCATAGTACTTACAAATTATTGTAAAATCTAGTGTACTTTACCTATATTAATTCAGAAACATAAACTTTTGCTTTGATCAAAGGCGACGATATATATATATATATATGCCATCTATAATTGTACAAGACATAATTCTAACAGTTTGTTTACATTTTTCAATAATAGTCATATGATCTATCATATCAACTGTATACATATTTTTGTAGACTTTATATAAACAAAATCTTTTAGCATCAAACTGATATATATATATATATATATATATATATCCTTTTCTATCTGTACATATTCAAGAAGAAAAATACATAAGTGAGAAAATGGGTAAGTGATTAACCAAAAAAAAAAGAAAAGATAAAGAAGCAAACAATTGATGAATACATGAACAAATTGTAGGATTTCCGGTCAATCCTAAAAAAAAGTACAAGCAGTTCATTTTGTAGTTCAACTGTTCGTATATAATAATAATAATTTACTATTACTATTATTATTATTTTAATATTATTCGAGAATAGTTTATTTTTTGACAGACATACCTATAACACAATTCAGGAAATGAATAACTTGTTATCTTCAATAAACAAACATTCTATACATTACAATTAATATCATTTTACTTAGTTTTATGGATACTCCCTTTTTATCTCATTGTTGTTGTTGTTTCCTTTTTCTGTCTATGTCTAGTGTATGTCAATCCAGTTTAAAGGAAACATTATTTATTAGAATAAATAATGTTTACTTTTAAATTATTTGAAGTATCTTTATTTAGTTATACATAATTAAGTATAACAAGGTTAACGCTTAAATGTTTCATCTTTCAAAGGAGTTAGTTTACTGAATATAATAGAAAGACAGTGATTGTTTAATTTAATAGATACTCTTTTTTTAAAATCTTCATATATATAAAGTACTACTTTAGGTTTCGTCAAAAAAGTATAAATGTGATGATTTCAATCCAATAATAGAATGAAAATAAAAGACATCTAGTAAAAATGATTTAGGAAATAATTAATCTCAAACAAAAGTTAAATATATCAACAATTTTATGTTAGAAAGGGTTTTGTCGAGATTTTAACAAGTTTATAGTTGAATTTATGAGTCAATTGAAGCTAGACTAATATAGAAAACCTGAAAGAATTGGACGACCGCTTCGTTCTAGTATGGTGATCCTCTGCAGCGTGTATCCACGATCCCGCCCCCACGAGATTCAAACCCAAGATCTAACAGATTTGCGCGCAAACACTTAACATCTAGACTACTGAACTGGCATCGTATGCTAACTAGTGACTGACTTCAAGAGATATTTCCTGGAGTTCTAGTGAGTAACATTGATCTGTGGAGTTCAACTGGGTCTGTTGTGAGATTGGTTGAAGATATTCATTAAAACCGTTGGATGCTGGACAGCTCAGTGGTTTAGTGGTCTTACTGGTCCTGGGTTCGAATCTCACTAAGCGGGATCGTGAATTCACACTGTTGAGGAGTCTCACCATAGGACGACATTGCTATCCAGTGCTAAGAGCTTTTCCATACTGGTCTAGCTTGAATTGACTCATTAATTCAACTATAAAATTCAACAAAGGGACTTTATGAAGATTAATAAAATTTGTAGACAATATTCGTCATAAATTGACTTGAGTTAAGATATTTTTGGAAATATTTTAAAAGATGAATTATAAATTAATCTGATATCATTGGTTTGAAATTTTATTTTAACTAATAATTGAAGGTTTAACTAAAGATCAAATCATTATCTCGATCATATTATTGATAAAAAATGTTTAATATCAAAATGATTTCATTCTGTTTAAAAAAATGCATTATATGTGTTACATGTATTAAATATTTAACTTATCTATTTTTCGTTCCTTCTTTTTTTATAGCTGGTAGACGATCAGAAAAACCACCATATTCTTATATTGCATTAATTGCAATGGCTATCAAAGCATCTCCATCAAAACGATGTACATTAAGCGAAATCTATCAATATCTTCATACACAATTTCCATTCTTTCGTGGACAGTATACTGGATGGAAAAATTCAGTTCGACATAATTTATCATTAAATGAAGTTTTTATTAAATTACCAAAAGGTAAGTGTATATTAACTTTTCTGTTTAAAAAAACAGTGATTGAAATGAAAGTCTTTTTTTGAAGTTACTGTATCGTACGCAGACGAATTAGGTATGAGTCAAACCCAGGAGCTTCAGTTATTACGGATATCACTAGAACTAGTCGTACCATTTGACAAATGCAACCTGTGTATAAAATCAATCTCTGTAAAATAGCTTCCACTAAAATCTAAGTCATTCCATGGGTAACCTATGTCAAGATGTCCTTGAAGTCCTTGCAAGTAGTTGTGACTGATGGAGTTTAGACGTATCTTGAGTGAAACAGCTGTGACCAGTGGTATTAGATAATAGTTGAGATATATACCATACCGATTGAATTTGCAACTATATCACTGGATATCGAGTCAATGGTCCTACTGGTCGAGGATTTATCACAGAACCTGTAGGTTTTGGATCGGATCCTTATTTGTGTCGTGAATAATCTTTTATCAGGAAAAGATATCTGTTTAGTGCCCACCGATTTGTAATAGTATCCTGACTGACATGAATCTGTAACGATTACAGTTTAAAAATTTGTTAACGTTCAAAATAGTTTCCATTACTGTATGATAGGAAGATAAAGAACTTTTAAAACTGAACGGATACTGACCAGCCGTTTTTTTTGTTTGAAATTTCGTAACCGTAAATCATTCAAAAGTTGACGTAAAGGACTTTAAATAACATTCAAATCTTTTGTTGTGTACCATATTAATCATTTATTTAGTCAGAGTTTATTAATTTACATTTTTTAACTTTATTCAATACTCAATATGGTTCAGTTAACATCCAATGACATAGGCAAGTAACAGTTTCACTTTCATAATGTCGACCATCATCATTCAATTTACTCATCATTCTAGTAACATGATTGATAAATTTATAAAACTATATCAAATATGATACAGTTTCATATTACGTACCCATTTTTTTCTTTTCACTACTTTATTTATGCTTCATTCGAATGCACATTAAGATCAAGTAATTAAATGGTTACTTTAATGTTTTATCAGTTATAAACTTAGAGGTAGTAACTCACTAAAGACAATGGTGGATATATCGCTCAATTTTGTGGATTAGTTAAAGTTAGACATTAATATCATTGAATACCGGCTCAGTGGTTTAATAGATAAGATAGATCCTGGATTCGAATATCACTAGACGGGATCATGGATGTGTGCTGCCGAAGAGTCCCACAGTAGGACGAAACGGCTATCCAGTGCTAATAGGCCTTTCATGGTGGTTTCGATTCAATTGACTCATGATCTCAACTATTAAAAAAATGTAAACAGGAACATTTGTACAAACCGACAATACCATTAATAGCAATAATTAAGATGTATAAATGAGAAAAAGAGAAAAACTAGGAGAAGAAGAAAATGAAATTCATTTATCACAAAAACAAGATGTGAACGTGAGTTTTAGAATATTGTACAATTCTATTCATTTGTATACTCTGTAATAAATCTATGTATTTAGGAAAGATATACACATAAATGTTTTCACCTTACGATATGCTTATTTAAACAAAAAGTCCACCGACTATAATCAGTTATTAGTAGTATTTGATTGAGATCATGAATTGACTGATGTTAGACCACCGTTGGAAATCTGGAAGCACTGGACGACCGTTTCGTCCTAGTATGGGACTCCTCAGCAGTGCGCATCTACGATCCTGCGAGCGAGATTCAAATCCAGGGCCTTCAGTCTCGCGCGCGAACGCTTAACCTACTCGACCACTGAGCCGGCATCCAATGGTGTTAGTGTCTAACATCAACCGGCCCACAAAATTGCATGAATTGGTCGAGTAGGTTAAGCGTTCGCGTGCGAGACTGAAGGCCCTGGGTTCGAATCTCGCTCGCGGGATCGTAGATGCGCACTGCTGAGGAGTCCCATACTAGGACGAAACGGCCGTCCAGTGCTTCCAGGTTTCCAACGGTGGTCTAACATCAGTCGATTCATGATCTCAATCAAAAACTTAATAATCTTTGCAACCCCAATAATGATAATTAGTAGTATTATTAATTCTTTCTTAGTAGCGGTAGAAATGCTGAGGTAATCCAGAACACATTTATTGATCAGTATGTATGTTTTATCCACTATTTTTGACCACTTTTTCGTTCATTTAATGAAATAGCTATGTATGTGGATGATTTTTTCACCAAAGAATAGATTACACTTGTAGCTCTTCTAAAGTTACTGCCGATCCCAAGTCCCAGTAGAGGTGAAGAGTTATGCATAAGGTCAATAACACTATCACGTAGAAAATAACTTTGCTAAAAGACATCAGTTGTTATCCACATATATCCAATTTGATTATGCCAGTATGGCTTAGGTTGAAATGCCAGATTGATAAATAATAATGTTGTTTAATCACATATTAATATACTACAGTCTTGGAATAAATGAAGGAAAAAAATAGCTGAAAATATTAGAATGCAACATACATAATGAACATTGAAAACATTGAAGTTAACCATAATTGATATTCGATAAAAAGCTTTCACAAATTTACTTTTTATATTTTATTAAACATATTACATTTACAAATTACTTCATTGATCGACATGACATATCATTAAAAATGAATGAATTAGTAGAGTAAATAAACAAAAAAAAATTTTTTGTATTCGTATCAGAAGGGATTTTGTGGATATTATAGTAATTTCAATGGTTGAGATCATGAGTCAATTGAAGCTAAACCATCATGGAAAACCTGGAAGCATTTGACGGCAGTCTCATTCTATTGTGTGACTCCTCAACAGTGCGCATCCATGATCCCACCTCACGAGATCCGAACCCAGGACGTACCAGTCTTGCGCGCGAGCGACTAACCACTAGACCACTGAACTGGCCAGCATCCAATGGTGTTGGTGTCTAACTTCAACTAATCTACCAAATTGAGTAACATATCCACTATTGTTTTCAGTGAGTTACTATCTCACAACAGACCCGGTTGAACTCCACTGATCACTGCTTCTCACTAGAACTCCAGAAAATACTTCTTGGAGCCAGTCATTAGTGAGCATATGTTGATTATAATCAGAGAGGACTTTTGCGAAAATTGTACTAATTTCAATAGTTGTGATCATGAGTCAATAGAAGTTAGACCATGAAAAACCTTGAAGCATTGGATAACTGTTTCGTTCCATTGTGGGACTCCTCAGCAATGCGCATCTACGAGACTGATAGGTCCTGTGTTCGAATCTCACGAGACGGGATGGTAGATATGCACTGCTGTGGAATCCCACAATAGAACAAAATGGTCACCCAGTACTTCTAGGTTTTCAATGATGATCTAACATCAATCAGTTCATGATCTCAACTATTCAAGGTTTTTTTATTGTTAATACATTAATCAACCTTGTTTATATTCTGAAAAAAGGTTTCCAAAATTATATTATTGAATAGACATTTTTTAGAAAAATTTCATAATTATACATCTATTTAATATACATTTTGAACCTTTCTCTAATAATCTAAATATGATAATTGAATGTAACATATTTTCACACTATAAAAATCCGACTAAAATATTATGAACCATTCCTTATATTAATGATTGTTATCACACATCAAAGGTAATAAGTACATTGTATATGTATTTGCAATTTTTACATTTTCTTATATATATATATATATATATATATATATATATATATATATATATATATATACTGAAGATACCATAAATCATATGTAATTATATCAATAATTCATTACGACAATACATGATATTCATTGTAATTTATACAATCAAATTATGACAATTACTTAATAGGGTATTTGTTATCAAATAGGTATTAGTTTAAGACTTTAAAAATAAATAAATAAATAAGTTTATAATTATTGTAGTGATTCAATGAATTGAAATGGTCTTTATTTATGATCAGATTATATATACATGGTTTGTGAATTTCCTATCTAGTTGATAGAGCGTCCCAGTATATATATATATATATATATATATATATATATATATATATATATATATATAGGCGTAACTATTGAGTGAAATGTAAGAGTGGAGAATCATAGATAGTTAAATATAAAATTCTCATGAAATTCACATGATCTTTTAATGTAAAATTTAATTTTGTTTTGTTGATTGATCTCATGTACCGATTGATGATAGAATAACATTGGAAACCTGGAAGCACGGTACAACCTTTTCGTCCTAATATGAGACTCCTTGAATCCAGTGCCTTCAGTCTTGCGAGTGAACACTTTATCTCTAGACCACTGAGCCAGTATTCAATGGTGTGAAGGTTTAACTTCAACCAATCAACGATATTGCGCGATCATCTTTCCATTGTACTGAGGTAGATACCCGTCTTTACCTGATATAGATTATCTACACTAGTCATAGCTACTTACTAGAACTCCAGGAAATATCTCACGAATCTAGTCACTAATGAGCATATAATAATTATTAGTATGGGATTGAGGAGATTATTAAGTTTTTTGATTGAAATCATGAACCGATAAATGTTAGACCACTACCACCACAACCCCATACTAATGAGATTTAATTATTGTGTCGTCGCAGTAATGTGATTTATCAGTAGCTCGGTATTTGAGAGCCTACTTAGAAAAAGATCTAGGATCTTTAAAGTTTCCAAAGATCAACTAACTTTTAGACTATTTGTAAATTTAATTAATTTTTTATATAGAACATAACAATTGTCTTGTATTTTATCTCCAGGATGAGAGTGGTGGTTTGATATTTATTATTCTTCTGAACTCCTGTATATAGATGTACTGATTTATAATCCATTTTACAAAAGATTCAATGGAATTATTTAAGCTTTTCAACAAAAAGAATTTTATCTCCTAGTGAGGTCATTGAGAAATTCTAAATATTAATGATATTACAGTCATTTTAAAAGAAAATCACTTAATTATGTTCCGTTAAATATTTCATTATATGTTTTTGTGTTCAATGTGCTATAAATGTTTATAATGTTACTTAGGTATGGGTCGTCCTGGAAAAGGTCATTACTGGACTATTGATCCAGCAGCAGAATTTATGTTTCAGGATGGTGCATCAAGAAGACGACCAAGAGGTTTTCGAAGAAAATGTGCATCAGCAGCAGCTGCTGCTGCCGCTGCCGCAGTAGCGGCAGCAGTTGCAGTGAATATTTCATCAGGAAATAATTATTCACAAATAACTCATGATAATACAATACATAAAATTTCCACAACACCTTTTGATAGTTTTAATTTAGGAAATATGAGTCATGATTTATTATTAACTAAAGAGATGACACGATTTTTTATACCGAATTCAGCAAATACTCGTGGTATGAATTATGATAGTATAAATACTGTTTCTAAACTTCAACCCCTTTCTAACGGATTGTCAATTTCATCAAATTTGAATATAACAAATTCAACATCAGTTAAGCGTATAGAACTAGAAGCGGTTGGACCATCATCTTCGTCATCTTCCATTGACAGTGTTTTCTGTAATCGTACTACAACTACTTTAAATGGACAAATACATGGATCCAGTACACCAGCTTCAGTTTCATTTGATAACGTATTTCGTACACAGTCAGATTCTTTTGGGATAAATCTATCTAGTTCACCAATGGAAATTCCAACAATTACAACCCAACTTACAGAAAATATACATGCTTCTAGAACAAACTCAGGAGATTTAGATCCTTCACCATACAGTTTTATGAACTCATCAGAACATCTAAGAAACAATAATGGTAATATTTCGGTTAGTCAACAATTGCCTCCAATTTACCAAACTATGATTCATAAAACGTTACCATGTATACCAAACTCAAATCCTACAACTGTTTCTTCACTTTATAAACCTACTATTTCCGACGCATATATTGGCTCAGTGAATATAAGTAATAATACTCAACATCATGAAGACATAGAAATAGATTATTCAACATATTATAATAGAGAAAAAGATCCACAAATAAGTGGCTCACATTCAACTCCAATAAAAATAAACCATCACAATTTATATGAAAATAACTTCAATCTAATACAACATTCTCAGGGTTTATTGTTAAATACAAAAGAATTGAGTTTACTAAATCATAATAGTGAACAAATAAATAATGATCTTGATGTACGTTGGTCTAATGAACATGTATGTTGGCCATGTGATACATCTGTAAAACGAACCCAGATGTTTAATCAAAAAGAGTGTGATCATACAGATATTCCTTCAAATACAATAGAATCCAATTTATATACTAATGAGATTTTTAGTATTTCTCAAATAAATACTAATTCTTGTAATACTACTAATAATAATAGTACAGCTGTTAACGATTTCAATGGTCCTACAAGAAGAATACTTGAAAGATTTCAAGGACATGATAATACTCTATACACAAGATCATTATTATCTCCATCATCTAAAAGTAATACACAATTAATTGATCCAAACAATATATCAAACATACAACATACTAATTTAACAAAATCCGATGAATCAAATCGAATAAATTATTCAATAAGTTCACTTGATAATGATATTGATATTCATATGGAAGATTCATGTCATTCTAAATGTCCACGAATTGAAAATAATCAAAATAAAAATGAAGGTAAATTAATACATAATTTAATATCAGAATGGGTCATTTCATTAGTTGAGATCATGAGACAATTGAAGATAGATCATCATGAAAAACCTGGAAAAACGACCTTCCAGTGCTTTCAGGTTTTCCATGGTGATCTAGCTCCAATTGACTTATGATCTCAACTATTAAAATTACATTACTTAATAATTAATTATATTCTAATTTAGAAATGTAAAATCATATTGATGAATATTTTTTATGCAACTTTGTAACTTACGTTGAATGTGTTGATGCTTTGAGTAATTAACGAGTAATTTTTAAGTGATAACTAGTTTCAATGGTTGAGATAATGAATCAGTTGAAGCCTGACTACCATGGAAAACCTGGAAGCATTGGACAACCGTTTCGCCCTAGTGTGGGACTCTTCAGCAGTGCGCATCCACAAAACCTTTTCTGATATTAATCAACATATGCTCACTAATGACTGGCTTCAAGAGGTATTTTCTGGAGTTCTAGTGAGAAGCAGTGACCAGTGGAGTTCAACCGGGTCTGTTGTGAGATAGTAACTCACTGAAAACAATAGTGGATGTGTTACTCAATTTCGTGGATTTGTTAAAGTTAAGCATGAATACCATTGGATGCCGGCACAGTGGTCTTGATGTTAAACATTCGCGCTCGAGACCAATACGTCCTGTGTTCGAATCCAGCGAGCACTGTTGAGTAGTCTCATACTAGGAGGAAACGGCTATCCACTGCGTCCATGTTTTCCATGGTAGTCTAACTCCAATTGACTCATGATCTCAACTAAATTTTTTTGTAAATAAGCGATTTGTATTTGTCATTACAAATCTTTTTTCAGTTTATCATCTCCCATGATTTAATACTTTGAATGTTCAATATTCTTGAGGGAGGAATTTAAGTGTCAGGTCAATGTCTGATTTGATGATCAGTGATATTTGAATATTTCATTCATTAGTCATTATGAAAAATAATAAATCTTAAACTGTAGTAACTAGTTGGCCTGAAGATTTGAGTTAAACACTCGAGACACATGTTAGCCCCAGTTATAAATTTATTCCCATTATATGGTGATTTGATACGATACATAAGTTGTATAATTAATCGACAATTAATGAATATTCGTCAAACTTAGGTTTAAACTACGTCATGTAATAACTTTTGATAAATGTTAACACCAACACCGTTGGATGCTGGCCAGTTCAGTGGTCTAGTGGTTAGTCGCTCGCGCGCAAGACTGGTACGTCCTGGGTTCGGATCTCGTGAGGTGGGATCATGGATGCGCACTGTTGAGGAGTCACACAATAGAATGAGACTGCCGTCAAATGCTTCCAGGTTTTCCATGATGGTTTAGCTTCAATTGACTCATGATCTCAACCATTGAAATTACTATAATATTCACAAAACCCCCTCTCATAACTAGTTCATATTGACTGATAATTACAATTTTTCACGAGTGGATGAATGCAAAAATCATTAAGCACTAGATTTTTCGATTAGACTAAAGAATGAAAATTACACAAACTTTATAGATATTTAATAGATAACTTCAATTTACATAAATAGTTTGATCGAGTAAAATTTCAAACAAATTATTTATAATTTCAATAGTTGAGATCATGCGTTAATTGAAGCTAAACCACCATGGAAAACCTGAAGGAACTAGATGGTCGTTTCGTCCTATTGTGGGGGTCCTCAGCAGTACTCATCCACGATCACGCCTTGTGAGATTCAAACACAGGACTTATCACTCTCACACGCGAACGCTTATCTTCTAAACTACTGAGCCGGTATTCAATGATGTTAATGTCTAACCTTAACTAATTCACGGAATTGAGCTACACATCCACAATTGTCATCGGTGAGTTACTATCTCACAAGTTTGAAGAAGTCTAGTTAAAATACCATCCTTCTACATGATTGACTGACATCAAAATAGAGACTATAATTTCACTAATATTAAAAAATATCCATACTACAATCCCCATACTTAACGGAACATATTGAAAATCCAATGATTTTATTATGCGTATGAATGATTAAAAAACTTATTCATAGTACTGTATATTTTAAACCAATTTAATTTCAAGTAATGTTCATAAAAACAAGTTTCATTGTGACTTAACGTTAGAGATTATTATTATAACATTTCCATGTATTGAACTTCGAATGACCCATGTAACATATTTATGAAATGCTATTAAATCATGTAACCAAGTACATTTTTATATGACATAATAGTTCTAAGTTAACAATATTCAAAACATTTAAAACTGATTCATTTATCTAACAATACAATACACTATATACGGTATTACTAGTTGTTAATCGGTTGTGATATCGCGTTGAGCTCATTATTTCATAATTTTGCAGTGATGAATATATAGATTGTTTTTGTATGTGGATTGTATACACCTAGAGAAACTGGTCAATATATAGTTTAAGTAAAATTGAAGTCATCAGTTGGTACACCGGTGAGCTCTTCTGTAAAAATGAAGATGACCTCATATAGGTAAATGAAAACTAATTCTTTGGATATGTGATATTAAATAACAGACTATCCTAGATTGTAATTGGCGTATCTATAAGAGATATTCTATAAGGAATGTTTCTAACTTCAATTATTTAATTTGGTTTTAAAGTTATTTCGACTATGGTTAATCCCTATGGGAGATTAGATTCTATTTATGAACCGGTTATAATATGATAATTATTGTCAGGTTATGACATTTCGTAAACACTGACATTTATTTATTCTTCATATTTTCATAATTGAAATATCTTTCTTTAAAATTTGATTAATTTTCGAAGTAACAAAACCCTAACAAACCCCGATAATATTTCAGGCAAGAATCTAGTATTATATAAAAGTTACGATTTACTTGTAATTATCATACTACCTTACTTTTATTGATTATAGTTAGACCTATCTAAGAATACACTTATATTGAGATGTTAAGTGGTTATAAGTAGTCGACAGGAAACTATTTACTCAGGTTTCATGCTATTTGGAACTTATCAGATGGAGTGGAACAACTGAAATCTTAAAGAAACTGATATTCTTTGTGGTCTTCAAACATGTGTCTCCGAATTCATACTTTTAGATAATACCTGAATAACCCGGTGGTAAACTTTTGATATCTTAACATGATGTATGTGATGTTGAGTCATATTGATTGGTGATTACACTTCATCAGTCGAATTCGATCGTTACACAAAGACTAAAGAAACATAACACTAGTTAATAATCAATGATTAATCAATTCTGAGAAACCATTTAAACTATATATTGATTAAGTGTTATATTAATTTTGTTAAAGAATTTTACATCATTTTATTTTTCTGATTTGTTTCATATAGAAATTCATGAACGAAATGAAATATTGGAATACAATACAACAATGGATTCATTTATTACTAGTCCACAATCACAAAAACATAACTATATGTGAATATTTATCTGGTTAACTCATTACTTACTTACTTGTTTATGAGTAGTATAATGTACTATTCAAAATTTCATTACTTTTACGATTGTTCTTTTTTAAAATTTCATTTGTTTCTTTTTAACTCCTTATAAATATATACATATATAAGTAAAGAGCAGTTTCGTCAAATGTTTAACATATATATATGCATATATTTTCATTTAAACGTTTACGTTGACGTATATATGAATATAAAATAACAGTATTCTTGGATATTTCGTTTATTCAAACTAATACACCTTTCGTCTTAATCATTCACCTGTCTTCTTCATCATAATATTCGTTGTTCTTCCCGTGAAGTTCATCTATCTATCTAACTTTATATATATATATATATATATCAGCATTCATATGGTTAAACAATATAATGAGAAGAAATATTACTAACTATTATTAATAGAATTAGCTTTTTGTGATTTACATTTTCACATTAATAATTCACAAAATGCAATTTCTAAACTGAAATCTAAATGCATGTGTTCATATTTTTAAGTCAACAATTTTTATTCTATATAAAGTTGAATTATGTTGAATAATTGCGAATTAAATTATGATTTTTGAATCTTATTGATTATTCTGTTTTTAGTATCTATGACTTTATTAATAAATCATTGAAAAAGAAAGAAAGAAAGAAAGAAAGAAAGATAATTTTAGATGAAAATGTGTTTGTTTGTTTGCAATTTTTCTCCTCTTTTTTTTCGAATGGATGCATATAATATTGTTTATACTACTGATGTCTATAATATTACTAATAATATGAATAATTATTTCTATATTTTTTTTTACATAAATCTATTGAAGATCATTCATATTTATAATGAATTTGTAAGTTATTTTAACGACAATCATTCGAGTGGAACTCGTCACTATACATCAACTTCATTATTTATAAAAAAGCGTTTGATGGTGTAGATGGGAAAACATTATGGAAACTTCCTCGACACTACGGAGTTACTGAGAAGATTGTCAACATTATCCGGAACTCATACGATGGACTACAGTGCAAAGTAGTGCATGGAGGACAGCTGACAGACGCATTCCAAGTAAGGACCGGAGTCAGACAAGGCTGTCTACTCTCTCCCTTCCTCTTTCTTCTGGTGATCGACTGGATTATGAAGACCTCGACATCTGAGGGAAAACATGGCATACAATGGACAGCTCAGAACCAATTAGACGATTTGGACTTCGCAGATGACCTAGCCCTCCTATCCCATACACACGAACAAATGCAGATAAAGACAGCCAGCATAGCAGCAGTCTCTGCATCAGTAGGCCTCAACATACACAAAGGGAAAACCAAGGTCCTCAAATACAACACAGAGAACAGCAATCCAATCACACTTGATGGCGAAACTCTGGTAGAGGTGGAATCCTTCACGTACCTGCGAAGCATCATCGATGACCATGGAGGATCAGATGCAGACGTAAAGGCAAGGATTGGCAAAGCAAGGGTCGCATTCCTACAATTGAAGAACATATGGAACTCAAAACAACTTTCAACCAATATCAAAGTCAGAATCTTCAATACGAACGTCAAGGCAGTTCTACTGTACGGAGCTGAAAGGCGGAGAACTATAACAACCACCATCAAGAAGGTACAAGTATTTATAAATAGTAGTCTACGCAAGATACTCAACATCCATTGGCTGGATACCATCAGAAACCGTTTTTTTTAGGAGAGAACCAACCAGCTTCCAGCTGAGGAGGAAATTAAGAAAAGACGATGGAAACGGATAGGGCTGTGGTGTGGCGTCTAGTCGCATTTGACTATGATCACCACTACAAGAAGACTACGTGCTAGTTAACCGTGAGTCAAATATCAGAATGCAGTTGATGGCTGTAGTCGAGATGTATTTGTTGGCGACCTCGTGGTATCGAAAGAATACCGAGATCGTGCCAGGTTACAAGTGGGGTTACTGCGCGTAACCGAATTCGTGCAAGGTCACAGTCAACGGAAGAAAGTAAGTATTTTGGTACGGTTAAACAAAGAAGCACGGTAAAACAATCACTGGTACAATTGGTTATAATAGTAATTGTTTCTATTACACCAATCGCGTTCTGTTGATAAAAGTAGGTCACTACAGGGCATACACTGCGCAAATCATCAAACTGCATCACGAGACAAGAGCTAACTTGGAATCCTGAAGGGAAGAAGAAAAGTGGAAGGCCAAAGAACACATTACCTCGGGAAATAGAATCAGATATGAAAAGGATGAATAACAACTGGAATGAGCTGGAAAGCATTGCCAAGGACAGGGTTGGATGGAGAATGCTAGTGAGCGGCCTATACTCCTTCACGAGGAGTAACAGGCGTAATTAAGTAAGTAAGTAAATCTAAGCTATAACTGAACTGTCAGAAAGCAACTGTTCATTACATCTTGGTTTAATTACCAATGAAGCCGAAGATTGATAATTCAATTGAAGTGGAAGTTCGTGGTCCAGTTATCAGTTGAAATTTCCATAAGCTTGGATTACATTGATAATCATCTGTATTCAATATCATTTATTAGATTATAGTAAAGAGTTCTCAGTAAGAAACATCCAATATTGTAGAAAACTTATTTTACACCCAATTGATTTCTGAATTGTCAAAGCAATTTATCTATCTACTTCCTGGCTTAAATTACTAAAATAACAAATCATGGGGAGATGGTTGCTTAAAGCAATCATTTATCTAAATCAAGGCACTAGAGAGGGGTAGTTTTCTTATATTCCTTTCAGTTGTGATATAAAGTAAATAACCCAAGTGGATTGATAACACTTTCTTTTATTAAAAGAATAAACTTATAGTCACATGTGAATAGATTGCAACTTTATATATTACTCTCAGGATTGCCAATGTCGATTTTATCCATAGAAAAATAACATCATTTATCGAAGTATTAAGGTATTATTTTCGTGTCACCCTGAACTAGATATCAAAGATTTTGTTGATATTCTTCATTGGAAAGTCAGTATTTTCACCTTTTTATTTCTCATCTAATTATGTCATTTTTGACAGAATTTTTTTTAATATTACAAACATATTTATTGGTACACAAAAGAAGTCACTTTATTACTATCAGAAAATAAGTATAAATGCCAATATTTGATAAATTATTTTTTTATAAATTAATCACAGTGACCAATATGTAGTTAGCTTTCTAATTTATTTGACAGTCTTCTAGCGAATTTCAAGGCATTGTTGTCGATATGTGATTCGTTGAGAAATAGAATCAGAAATGTAAAGGATTCATAACAACTGGAAAGAATTGCTTAGGACAGGGTTGGATGGAGAATGCTAATGAGCGGCTTATGCTCCTCCACGAGGAGTAATAGGCGTAAGTAATTTTAAATATAAATGAAGCCGAAGATTAATAATTCAATTGAAGTGGAAGTTCGTGGTCCAGTTATCAGTTGAAATTTCCATAAGCTTGCATTATAATGATAATCATCTCTACTCAATATCATTTATTAATCACAGTGATCAATATGTAGTTTATTTGACAGTTTTTTAGCGGATTTCAAGGTATTGTTGTTGTTATGTGATTCGTCAAAGTTATTAGTGTTTTCTTTAGGTAAATGTTAACTAATAAGTTTATTCAATAATTTTTTTTCATTACTAACAGTGAAAATTAGGATTTATTTGTTCATAATGCACACTGATTGATCATTGACTAGTGACCGAAGTTATATTTATCTAGGCCTCAGTAATGTTTAGTTTCTGAAATATGGCCACTAGTCTCATGGAATGTAAAATGCGTTTGATGCAAGGTGGTTTAAGGTAATAGACCGGAAACTGTGAATCAATGTTTCATTTCAGCTGGCACTCATTATCAAGGTGTATCTGAAATGGTGTTGGGTACTGGTGCAGATTGTGAGACATAGACAAGTGTCACTTAGCTTCATAATCTGAGACCACGATATGAAAAACCCTGTCTGAATGATGTAGTTTATTAATCTAAGATGTATTATTGAGTTGGGTGATTTGTTAAGATTTACGAAAATTTCAGCCTATATAACCCAAACTGTTTGTAAAACAGGTATTTTGGTCATTATTTACGTCATTCTCTGTGAAGTAAGTTCTCTATTTAATCAACTTGTAAATAGTTCGTTAAATTTCACAACTAATAGTGGTAATATAATTAAACAAACTAAAATATCAGAGAAAATTCTGTGATTTAATGGTAACTAGTAATGTTTCAAAAGCGAATTAGAAATCTAATTTCTGAAATTGAAATCAGTTCAATTTATAGGGATCCTCAACACGATGAAATATGCTAACGAAATTTGAGGTATGAGGCTACCAACAAAAGTGGTATATCTAATACAAAAAAGCATTCAATAAAGTCCCATATTCTAGGCTGTTATCTATATATAACGACACTCAAACTAGTGGGAATTCACGTTATATTTTAAGAACTTTACAGCTGGTTATCATCAAGCAGTTAAGACAGAAAATAACGTGGAGTAGCTTTAGTGAAAATGTTATTTTTTTCGTACTCAGATGACAAGATAAGGACACCTGGAGACTTGAGTAATATATGGATATATTAGTTCGACGTTCGAGTCCAATATATACCAGCTGTTGCTATCGATTGCATGATAATCTATATTTATTATGAAATGACGATCAAATGCATACTGAATTGTTACTTTGCGTGCAAACACAGATCCAAGAGAATTGTTATACGTTGAGACTTGAAAACCACTGCACATTGTAAGACAATAGATATAAAAAGTTTAAGGATCTTTAGCATAAAACATTTTAGTCGCCTAAATGATATAGAGTGTAGTCCGGAGTACTATGAACTACTCGAAAAGGTTCGAAAAATAACGACAAAGCAACCTCAGGATTATACTTTTATGATATAAGAGAAACTTCAGACTTGGTTATAATATCCCGGTTACTTAACAGTGATTTTTGTAACTTCACTTTTCTTGCTTTACAGATAAGTAAACATTGCAGAACACAACAAAAAATCAGATATTCCGAACCAATTATTATCAAACTGATTACCAACCTTTAGATTAAACTATGAGTGACTAAAATCATATTCATCAACAAGTAGTAATGACCTCGTTAAACTTATATTAGAAATAAGGTTAGATTAATTAAGAAACAACTCTCAGCAAAGTAAGTATGTATATGTATTTCTACACTACTTACTTGAGTGGTAGTTATTTCTTGTTAGCACTTTTATGGTATATTATAGCAAATGAAATCCCAAATTGGCTTAAAACTAGATACGGAACACTTATGAATCGCATGAGCAATCAAAGGGTGGATATTCGTACTGTCCATTTATCACAATGATGTAACTGTTTTGAGAGTAACTTTGCAGATTATTACGGGGTAGTCGACCAGCAGATACTTAAAAAAGCTTCTTAAAATACAATCTAACTGTTTTATGTGAAAATTAGCTATGATTATGATTGGACATTCCAGCTACAAACTAAAAGGACAAAACATATAGCTGAAGCTGTTAGATTGGAACTATTTATTATATAATCCAAACGTTGTCACTGTGTTCTAAGAGATATGGACGAAGATAGATATTTGGTAGGATGAATATTAGAATTACAATATCTACGTTACATATTTTGCCGAAAGGTTATATAATTTCTATTTCAGCAGTTATTGATTGTCAACGCAAATGACTGACCTGCCGTAGTATAGTTGAACCAGAGGAGATGTGCTAGTTGGACGAAGATTGCAAACATTTAGTTCGTTTGAGTCTGATTTTAGGAGGACTTTGTTTAATGTCACCAGTTTAACGTTCAGCTTGTCAACGGATAAATAGTGTAGGACTTATTAATGTACTGGATATTACACAACCGTTGGAGTGTAGATCATTTTATGTACAAGTAACATTTAGCAAATTTTCATCGTTAACCCTTTTAATCGACGTAGAGGTTTTGAGAGGTTATCGTTTACAACTTCACTTATCAAAACCCTGTTGTTTATTTTCGTACATCTGTATGAATAGACGAGAACTATTTGCACAATGAAAACTATAAATAATCGCCTTTATTTAAAATATAGAAAATGATTAAAGCAGAAAACACAACATATTTTTACATTAGTTAAAAAAAATAAATCAAGAGGTAACATATTGAAGATAATCACTACACTACAATTAATGGATTCGGTTGTAAGAATGAATTAGAAATAATTTGTCGAAATACATTCAATTCTTCATCTGTAATCCATGAAGGCGCGAGAAATTGTATAGATCGTAAATTGGGACCACGCCATGTAATCAATTCCATTAATGCACCTTTAACAGCTTTAAGTACTGTTTCGACACGTTTAGCTCTCCATGATTTATCCATATTCTTTTATTAAAATTGAACAAAAAAAAACAGTATTTAGATGGAAGTTATTAAAGGGTAGAACAATAACCAGTTACTTATAAATATCAATTACATGTTTAAGTAACATAATACCAGCTAGTCAGTCAGTCGAATAAAACGTACAACCTAGGACATATGTACATAAGTTTAAGTTTCCATACTACATTACATCATCCCAAGTTACAAATATCTTTAGTCAGTGAAAATTTTAATGGCTAGCTGGACTTAGTAAATTAGTGGATAATCTGTTGGTGTTAGGCACTGAGTTCAAGTCTTAATGTAAGCAGCAACAAATGGATGTAGGTATATCGGACTGATGAGTCCCAAGTAAGACGACATACTTGTCCTGGACTCCACTGCTATCCACATAACAAATGTATTAAAACTTATACCAGTTACGAAAGTAGTGATTTATTGTGAGGTATGTTAACCTTTTGTTCAATCTATAAAATGAACTACAAATAATACTGTGTGATACTATCCAACTACCACAGTCAACTTATAGAAAATACAGTTGAGTGGTGGAATCATATATAATATTGGCTCAAATAAATAAATTCCACAAATCTTTTTATTATTAAATATAGAAAGTTATTGATTGTAACAAAAACAGTCAGATGAGTGACACGACACAAAACACACACAACGTACTTCAGATACTGATGAAACCAATAATAACGGCAAGGATAAAGTTGTAACATCGTAGTCGAAACAAGTACGTAGTACAGCTGATATAGCATTGTGTAATGAAGATGGAATACGTATATTATTATTACTTTCATAGTCTTCATCAATGACCACTTGAAAAATAACATTTATACTATCACCGGTACTACTGATTAAATTAGAATGCTTAGTGATTAATACATCACCATGAATTGGTTCATAACAGTCAGATTTTGATTTAACTAGAGAACAAAACAAAAAAAGTTAAAGAAAAATATAAATTAGTTAAAACTACTTAATTTAAGAAAGAAAGACGTCAAGTTATGGTGTCACGATATATCGGATGGTTAGTTATAATGTAGAATTCATTTATTTATTTATTTTAACACAGATATTGGTACAAGGAGGCACCAAATATATATGCGTCACACAGGTCTCAATTGATATGTGTGAGGGCTGTGATACTGCCCGGGTGCCCAAACCGAGGCAGGTGGTTTTCTTAGGGGGCCACACCCCGAGCCTTCGGCCTGAAGATCTGACCCGCAAGGCAGTGGAGCATCGTAAGGAGATGCAGTCCCATGGTAGCCGGTGACCAACGATTGGTTCATACGTCATATGTTCCTTCAGGATACTGAAGCCCATGTGCACCATTGGTTAGGGATTCGGTTAAAGCGCCGGACATTCGCTTTTCGTCCTCTCATTTTCGTAAACAACAGTAATGCCACGAGAAGGCGGTGAGTAGGACTTCCCTGGCAGAGGCTATATACGCATGACCATGTGAGAGCATTGCTAGAGGGAGAGCGGACTCTCCCCACTCTCGGTCGTGCCAGGGCATTTGGGGACAATCTATTACTCTACTAGGAGTGTAAAATACAAATTGATACAATTATTATATTAAAGATAGGAGGCTTATTTGTGACTGTGAGATAGGTTCCTTTCGATTAACTAATTTAATAGTAGAGAATATGCTATGTATGTTAAGGAGGACAATTTTAGGTTTCGTTATGAACATGTTTGTGGCTGCTAAAGCTCTAAATTAGAATGCTGATCCACAGACAATGTGGAATGACACGATGTAACTGATTGATAACTGCTCACGATGCTGAATTACTTAAGCACGTCTCGAAATGAACTGGTACTAAAAAAAGGAAACAACACAACTGTCAAACTGCATGGGTGTTTTTTTTTGGTAAAATCACACATTTATAAACAAAATATATTCAACGTATAAATACAGTTAGAAGTCATATGAAATAAGTGATGGTACGATACAATTTAGGTAGGCTCCAACGAAATTAAAACTTAAACCATTAACGGTTTCAGTTTTTGGTTTCATCCTTTGGACTTGGTGATGATATTGCAAATAATTCACTGATACTTAGACTAAAATAAAAATTGGTAAAGATGTAGCTATTACATCAGAGTCCAGTGACAGACAAGCTAAAAAAAGTGAGAAATACCTAGTGGGAATAGCTAAGACAGATAAGTAATAACAATTTCATTCCGTTAAGTTTGAGGAATGGAACAAAAGTAGAATAGCGAAAGTAATGTTGTGATTATACTGATGTATTTTAATCTCAATACATTTACAAGCGTTTTTAAAAGATTAGATCCTAAGAACTTTAAAAGATGTAAAGTGTAACACATTGAACAAATGTATACAAAAAATCACTGTTACCCATAGGGGATTAATTGAAATTTAATGGGATTAAGTTACAGTAATAAAATGGTTATAAAGTCAAGATATTTAAGCTAATGGAATGTTAAGTATGAAATAATAATCACACCAACGATCCGACAGAAAGAGAATTGAATTATTTGTACTGTAGCGACCAATCTTGAGTGATAGCTTTAACCACAAATACAATTGGCTTATAAATCATAACCATGAAGTCTGAACCTCTTGACACAGCTCAATCCAACAGTGAACGACGGATGTCATGGCCTGGGTTTGGCAACCACTACATATTTAATAAGTTTGATCTACCTTATTTGTTTCACACAGTTAAAACAAACAGACCGGCTCCAATGAATCCACCGGACATCGAAGCAGCACACACAGATCTTCCTATAAATGTCAATCCACCAACGACAGAAGAAATCAGAATGGCCGTCAGACAAATCAAGAGCGGGAAAGCAGCAGGACCCGACAATATACCAGCTGAAGCACTGAAGTCAGACATCGAAGTAACTACAAGAATGCTTCATCTTCTATTCAAGAAGATTTGGCAGGAGGAACAAGTGCCGATGGATTGGAAAGAAGGACACCTCATCAAGATTCCAAAGAAAGGCGACCTGAGCAAGTGTGAAAACTACAGAGGCATTACACTACTGCCAATACCAGGTAAAGTCTTCAACAGAGTGTTACTGAACAGGATGAAAGACGCAGTTGACGCTCAACTTCGAGATCAACAAGCTGGATTCCGTAAGGACCAGTCGTGCACAGACCAGATTGCGACACTACGGATCATCGTCGAACAATCAATTGAGTAGAACTCGTCACTCTACATCAACTTCATTGATTATGAGAAGGCATTTGACAGTGTAGATAGGAGGACGTTATGGAAACTTCTTCGACACTACGGAGTTACTGAGAAGATTGTCAACATTATCCGGAACTCATACGATGGACTACAGTGCAAAGTAGTGCATGGAGGACAGCTGACAGACGCATTCCAAGTAAGGACCGGAGTAAGACAAGGCTGTCTACTCTCTCCCTTCCTCTTTCTTCTGGTGGTCGACTGGATTATGAAGACCTCGACATCTGAGGGAAAACATGGCATACAATGGACAGCTCAGAACCAATTAGACGATTTGGACTTCGCAGATGACCTAGCCCTCCTATCCCATACACACGAACAAATGCAGATAAAGACAGCCAGCATAGCAGCAGTCTCTGCATCAGTAGGCCTCAACATACACAAAGGGAAAACCAAGGTCCTCAAACACAACACGGAGAACAGCAATCCAATCACTCTTGATGGCGAAACTCTGGAAGACGTGGAATCCTTCACATACCTGGGAAGCGTCGTCGATAAACAAGGAGGTTCAGATGCAGACGTCAAGGTGAGGATTGGCAAAGCTAGAGCGGCATTCCTTCAACTGAAGAACATATGGAACTCAAAACAACTTTCAACCAATATCAAAGTCAGAATCTTCAATACCAACGTCAAGGCAGTCACTTCTACTGTACGGAGCTGAAACTTGGAGAACTACAACAACCACCATCAAGAAGGTACAGGTATTTATCAATAGCTGTCTACGCATGATACTCAACATCCATTGGCTGGATACCATCAGCAACAGCCTTTTGTGGGAGAGAACCAACCAGCTTCCAGCTGAAGAGGAAATTAGGAAAAGACGATGGAAATGGATAGGACATACATTGAGGAAATCATCAAACTGCATTACGAGACAAGCGCTAACTTGGAATCCTGAAGGGAAGCGGAAAAGAGGAAGGCCAAAGAACACACTACGTCGGGAAATAGAAGCAGATATGAAAAAGATGAATAAGAACTGGAAACAGCTTGAAAGGATTGCCCAGGACAGGGTTGGATGGAGAATGCTGGTGAGCGGCCTATGCTCCTTCACGAGGAGTAACAGGCGTAAGTAAGTAAGTAAGTAAGTAAGTACCTTATTTGTTTGAGTGCAGGCTTATCCACTGCTTTGCAGTCACAACATTAACAGCGGAGTAACTAGCAGTAATCGAAAAAAACTCGTCTACTAAGAAGTTATGATAAGTTATATGCTGTTGGATAAGAAACAAATAGCGGTCTAGACATAGGTATGTAGTGAGCAATTTCAACCAGTGACTCATGAAGGTTTAATTCATAACCAAGTGAAAATAATATTTTTATTAATCTAGGCCATAATATGAGGTGTGTATATTTATCTTTTTTTTTAAATACACTTAGTGTAACTTACACCACGTAGTCCTTTTTCTATGGCTTCAACTGAAAGGAATAAATGAGAAGAAAAAATTTCGAGAGAGTACTTCATTAACAATGCTATGAGTTTCATTCTACATAGTTGCTTGCTATTATCAAATCTACAGCTTCTAATTTAAAGTAGCTAGTTTTCTGAAATTTAAATAAACAAGAGAAGGGAACAAATTTGAATGATTTTTGTGTACACCATGAGTAAATGAAGATACATTTAACTGTCAATTAAGCAAAATCCAATTAAATTTCATGTATACACGAATAACAATAGACAAAACCATATACCAACCTGTAGAAATTCCACTACATAAATCATTATTTTTTAATTTAGATTCACCATTTAATTCCGTTAACTGACGTGATCCCAAACGATTAATTGTTTCTTGTATAGATTCTAACTGGGAACCGAATTCCGGGAAATGTAATTCAGATGACTGCTCACATGCATCCGCTAAAACTATTTCAACGAAAAAATAAAGAATAAACATACAAGTTAATAAAATCAAAACTTCATGTCTAACATCAATCGGTTCATGATCTCAATCAAAAACTTAATAATATCCACAACCACGATACTGATAATTATTATGTGCTCACTAGTGACTAGCTTCGTGAGGGAATTCTCGGAGTTCTAGTGAGAAGACGTTACCAGTGGAGCTAATTCGTGTCGGATAGAGACAGATATCTACCTCAGTACAGTGGAAGATGGTCGCGCGATTTCGTGGATTGGTTGATGTTAGACATTAAAACGATTGGATGCCGACTCAGTGGTCCAGTAGATTAAGCGTTCGCGTGCGAGACTGGAAGCCATGGGTTTGAATCCCGCCAACGGGATCGTGGATGCGCACTGCTGAGGAGTTCCACAATAGGACAAAATGGTCGTCCAGTGCTTCCAGGTTTTCAATGGTGGTCTAAAATCAACCGGTTCATGATGTCAATCAAAAACTTAATGATCTCCACAACCCCTATACTGATACATTATCTCTATAAGGTCACACAGGATACCGTTTGGTTATTTAGAAACAAGTGAAATGGGAATTCGATTTAACGATCTGTTTGTTAAAAATCGAATGTGTTTTAATCCCAAGGAATCTATAATTATAGATAGAGGAAGGTTATTAGTGAATACAAAGATTTTACAACAGTTTATTATTAACCAACAAAAAAATAACTATTTAATTAAGTATTAAGGAAAAGGAATTCTATACATTACACAACATTCAGTCACTTAAAGTTTAATTATAAACACCAAAAATGATAATTAATAGTTAATGCTTCAAAATGATTCTACTAAGGAACAACGTTTGAAGATTCCACTCGTTGACATTAGTATAGTTGTAGCCTCGTAAAAGTACTTAATACCTAATTATAACATTTTAAAACAGACTTTAGGTTATTTTGCTTTGTGCCCTTTGGATACTCTCTTGTGTAAGTTGCTTTTATTGATGTGTGCAATATGCATTTCATCCACGCTAACAGACTTAAATAGATACTCGAATAAAAAAATCTGGAATAAATTTAAAAGAGTACAAATGACTGACCATTGAGTTACATATCTTAACAGTTCTTTGGTATATAACCTTTATTATTACAAGTTATAGAAATTCCTAACTTACGTTTTTTAATTCCACGGAAAGAATTAATTCGTTTATCTACTAGAATCATTAAACCATTTAAATTGTTTGAATAGATATTTAAAGCATTGTTCATACGTTCAGCTAGCCAGTCATCGTCAAGCAAACTGTACAAAGTAAAAGTGACAATAATTATAAGAATCTTAATACGTACAAAGTAAAAGCAGTAGTTCAAACACTGAATGTAATTTTCAATCCTACTATGTTTAAATAGAAAAGGCATGCTAATTAACCTGCATTGTGTAACCGAACTAATCATATGAAAGGTGACCAGAATAATGCCACAGATGCATAAAAACGCTCACAAACCAACGCAATTACTTTATTATATCTTATGGATACTAGAAGACAAAACAGTAAAGGATAAATGCAAGATTGTTAATATGATAAATTATACCAACTGTGAGAAACAATACATTGGACAAAGTGGATATCCCGTATACGAACACAGACTAGCAGTGAAACAGCACGATTTGTTATCACTGATATCAGTGAACATAAACAACCACGGATATGAATTTGACGGGGAAAATGCAGACACTCTGGATCGAGCAAACTCTAAGAATGCCATAAAACTTCTAAAAGTGTGGCATTAAGATCAATTAATAGGCTCATCTATATAGATCTCGTCTATCAATTCATACAAAGGTCAATCAGCCACACAATCAGATGTCAACCGAACAAAACGGCCAAATGAAGACAAGGAAACCTTTTGCAGATACCGGGTCACAAACAGGACCACTAGAATGAACTAGTTTGATGCTGTTGAAGTAGGTGATGTACTTACTTAATGATACAATAGGCACTGATGTTGTTGACTAAAATGATGGATAACCTGTAATTAAGCCGTCTAGAAACTCAACAACACCAAAAACAAACAATCATTCACGCATGCGAAAGATCTTACATTTCTTATCATTCACCAACATATAGGCCAGTAAATATTGATGGTACATATCAAAGTTTAATATTTTTCGACAGATAGGACATTGTTATGGAGGAGGTTTCATGTGACTTGATCTGAAGAGATTTTCAATTGTTAAAATCAACGAATATAATGTTAATCGATTGATGGACGCAATGATATAATCGGGCTGAGTGATGGTTACTCACGAGACTGTATTACTGACTTAAGCCATTGTATAATTTCAAGTAAAAAAAAACAAAAACAAGACCACTAGCCAAATGAATTGGTTTTTTTCATGTAACTAAATAAAATGCTTGTTTACAGAATATGAACACAAAATAAACGTACCAAGATGTCATAAGCGATTGAAGGAAATAAGCTTGTAGGTCACTCATTCTCCAATCACTTCAGAACTAACTATTAGACTCAATCTTTTGTCATCGTACCAAACGTTCAGTCAGTCAGTCATCAACGACGTAGAACTTCGTACGTACGTACATCAGTCTGAGTTTCCATATCACATTAGCACAGAGATACAATTGTCAATTCAAATCCCGTATTGGTAGAGGTAGTATGAGTATTAACAGTAATCGGAAACATTAGGGTTTGATGATGTTATTTAAGAAGTATAATCCAGAGGAATAGATTTGGAAAGAAGATAAAGGACGTGAAGAATTCAGAAGATTAGAATTTGGAAGAACACAGAGTGGATTCACCTGATCCATTGCAAACAATTTTGAGCCATGTCATTCAAGATCACCAACCATCGGTTGCTATCGTCTCACTGACCCCAACCAGGTAGTCTACACCTACCAACGTGGCTCAGTCCACTTGTCAGTGACTTCATAGATTTGTGCCATGTTTTCGTATGGCTGCCCCTAGCTTTCTTCCAACCTACTCCTACACCATAAAACACCGCACGTCGAGGCAGTCGGTGGTTGGGCATATGTAACACATATCTCAGCCATCTCAACTGATGAAGTTTCACTACTTCATCAATTGATTCGCCATCCTTACCTAGTACCCGTTTCCTAACAACTGCATTACTTACTTGGTGGTCCCAGGATACACGAGCAATGCTTCGAAGACACCTCTGATCGAATACTAGTAACCTACGAATATCCTCTACTCTTACCGGCCATGTTTCACTGCCACAAAGTAGGACGGAACAAACTGCTAGGCAGTAAACTCACTCTTTGGTTGGTAGATGATTTCTCGCCTACGCTATAAATGACGAAAGTTGGCAAAAGCTAGTCGAGCCCTCTGTATCCGTATCAAGCGTTAACACATATTCACTTGTATTCACTGACAATTTGATCTGACTTGTTCATTAAACTGTTCAAATATGTGTACATTCGTTAGACCTATTTATTCGACGTAGAAGTGAACTACATAATGTCACGAAACGTTAGAAAAAATTATTTTTATACTGAAAGGCTTGTCTCTATGACAAAATGACACATTAGTAGTAGAGATGCCCAAAAAACTTACCTTTTCGTCGGAAAAATTGCTAAAAACTTAAAAAAAAAACAACACATAATGTCATACATATGAACGATGAAAATCATATTATTTTGAAAATTCTAAACAAAAAGACTTAACTGATTTTCTTGGACTTTCAACCTTGTACTTGTTAATAATTCAGATGGATCTAATCTAATTAAACGAAAATTGAACATTGTTCGTAACTGACGACCTAATTGTACAGTGAAAGTTTCTGATAATGGAATATGATCAGTCCGTTTAGAAATAGCTTGATTATTTATGGTAGATGATTTCTTTAATAAGGAATCCAATGTTTTAGATGAACTGTATAAAAAAACCATAAACAAGAATGCGTAACTGTTAGTATACATTTATCGTAAATATTTTTAAAATTAAAGTTCTTGTAGCAATATTAAAACCATACTTAAGTCTTAGAGAAAAGAGTTGGTGTCATGTGTCTGCATTTGCTGGAACGTAAGTTACGAGTAACCAATGAAAAATACTGCATGATATTATCAGGAAATGCCACGTATGAAGTCATTAGTTATTTATCTCAACTATGTCAAGGGATGCAGAATTTTTATCGCTTTAAGTTAGTTATCGACTTAAGAACCACGGCTCAAGATAAAAACAAGAATGCGATGGTGTTGAATAACAGCCAAGGACGGTTTGTTGATAAAACACTGATGACTAGAGACCGACAGACAACTGGTCGTAGATTCCTAATTAAAAGCATGGGTGTTAGGAGGAAAACGTGGCCACTACAGTACTATAGAGAGAAAAATTTGTTCATATATATATATATATATATATATATATATATATATATTGCTCGAATATGATATTATCTGATTTAAAATATTTCGGTTTAGATGATGTTGTGGCCCTGACTTTGGCCGTAGATGTTGTGAAAAAAATTTCAATTGGATGAGATTTAAGTGCAGCTAGGAACTGGGGTTCACGTTACTAGTGAAAACCATTGCGTTCCAGTCTCTAAAAATATAAGCAGACCAATCTGAAACGACTGACTGTCAATTGTAAAATGTCGAGACAAAATCTTGATCAGTCGTGTATATCTTTTCTAATTATATATGACGTGGCTCAGAATCGATCACAATGGCGTCGGTGTATACACACTCTGTCTTCCTTTAAACTAAGAGATTAAAATCGCTTCATATCTTTCTTTCTAGGAACTAATTGTTTCTGTCTGTACTATATCCTTATATGCAATCTTTCTTCGATATATTACCACCACTGAATTAACTACTTCTATGAATCCGGTGTTCATCTTGTTGTGCTAATGCGGTATGGCAACTTAGACCGATGCATATACGTGCCTGGTCCTACGTTGCAGCTGACTGACTGACTGATGTTAGCCGGTTGCATATAGGTTTCTAACTGTATGGCTTATTATATCATTTCGTTTTTTTTCATTTATCAAATCAAATACAAGAAAAAAAGATTGGTGGTACGAATATAAATAAAAATCTAGTTTTGCGGTAATAACTTATCTGAAGTCTTTTAAACAAAACATACACTGACCTATCTTTTAAGAACATCCGGGTTAAATTGGGACGATCGTTATTTGTTGGTAAACTATTGATATGTCCTTCATAAGACATAACAAATGTTCTCAGAGCTTGACGATGTTCCCATTTTAATGCACTTATACAACTATCCCAATGACTTACAATGACTTCTCTATTGAGGTAATAGTCCTCTTGGAGTTGTGTGATGGTCTCTGGGACTTCGCTACCACGTTTTTGTATACTACGTTCAGTTTCATCAATATGTCTAGAAAATTGATTTAAAATAGAACAAAATTATTTATTGTTAGATCGTCAACATACGTCAGTGGTCACACGGCTACTAATCCTTGAGAAAAATGAAGTATTAAAGTCTCTGTCATTGTAAACATATTATATACGGATTTTTATCCAATTGATTATTTATAATACTTATTGAGTTGACTTTTTCTTTGAATATAAAGAAAACGGCTACTAGTTTTAAATGAAAAGTTACTTAAAGGAAGAGTCACGCATATGTCACGATAAAAGCAATTTGCATGAAAAATGACTTATTTATTACCTTTTTAAAACAGAAACCTGAATGCTTATAGACTTAAGTAATGGGCCTCGCGTATTTATAGGATAATTGATATTATATCTGGTTGGATAGAGGTTAGTAAATCAAGTGAAAGATCAAATTAGATAAAAATCAATAAAGTCACACTTCTACGCTGTAGCTGTATTTCAAAATGTTTTACACATATAGTCATATTCTTCAGGCTGACGATATCCGAAAACCTATCTTTTCTTAAATGTGAATTAGAAATCTGATAAATGATAAGTTTAGAGCAATGAGAGTGATTTATGTAAAGATTCAGCTGATTGGTTTAAAGGAAACTAAATAAAATGAAAGCTTTTTATTACAAATCGATACCTGTTGAGCAATCTGTTGAATTCTAAAAAAGTATATGAAGTGATTTCTTTTTCTAACTTGGGACTTTCTAATCACTGAGCATTTGAATCCGAAACTTCTAGGTAATGATAGTGTTTGTAACAAGTAGATTACTGGTTAACTTTCAAAAATCCAGTGAATTTGCAATAAACAGTGGTAGTTTTAAATCTATGGCTAATCACAGAAAGTAAAACTGAGTGCTTTTAGAGCATTAGAACAATAACTCATATAAATTCAGATAGCATAGTTATTCTTGTACTCATTTAATAAAATATTAGTCCATGAAAATAGCTTACTATTTGCATTACATGATTTGAAATATCAACTCAATAAACCGAATAACCGTCTAATAATCATAGTTAACATAATGACTTCTTTCCAACTAATTGAAACAAGAAAATTATAAAAATGGATGCTAGTGGTGGTCAGTTATATGCTTCATATTGACTGGCAAGAATGAATTTCAACACAATGATAGTTGAACATCAAGGTTTCAAAGTACGGTACCAGTACTGTTGATCAAGGCTATCTATCCTAAATACCCTAGTTACTAAAGTCAGTTATCTATCTTATTTGGATTTAAATTACTTAGTACACAACTAGATCCTGATAGACAGCCAGTGCCCTAAAGTGAATTCATGCTGCTAATACACAGAAAAGTTGAGCGCAATATTTTATAACTATATTTCAATTTAAATACGGCTTACAACAAGAGATATGGACTCGGAAATAGAAATCCGTATGCTTAAGTATATGGGAGACTAAGGATTGTGTTCCACATAAAAATAATAAAATTACACACACAAAATAATAAAGATTACTTTTGATCCATTTCCTTTAGGGTATCATCTCGTTTTTGAAGTTTATAACCAACTTCAAGAGCAAATAATTGTTCTAAGTGAATAAAATCTTGTGCTGCAGGCGAATGAATCATCTGACTGAAAGCATGTGAAAAAACTTCCTGATCGTTCAGTTTGGCTGGTTTTGATGAAGTGGAATTCTGATTAGATAGGATTACTAATTAACTACTGCTTACGTTATGATGCGAAGAGTTAAAAACAGAACAAATTTTTTCTATATTTGATACATCAGACTTTAGATTGTTTACCAACTTTAAATAATGATCTTTAAAGTCATTTGTAGTTTCTTCAGATATAAAATCTGATAATCTTTCATAGAAAACTAGATTTTTAGCAAGGGAATTTTAAGGGATATACCTTTAGAAGCGACATCTGGGATATCATATGCACTTGCTAGTTGAGAAGCACACTCTGAAATAGTGAGCCTCATAGGAAATTCAAGCCACTCTTTGACATGAACATGAACGTCATTTTCAAATGATTCAGAAAATTCGAACAAAACTTTTCTCATTCGGTGTTAAAATAAAATTCATGAAAGAATATCTAAAAAAGAATTGAAGGGTGACATCAAGGAAATCTATGGCACTGTAATGAAGAAAAGTACTTTTAATTAGTCCGAATATACTACTAAAGCGTCTTATTAATTCTGTGGATGTTTACGTATGAATTTATTAACCAAACACGTTATGTAAGAAAGATGGCACAAACGCATCACTAAGTTAAACTAAGATATTGTCTATTAGTCTATATTCACGTAATTTCATTATTTCAACTTATTTAGTATAATGACGACTCAAATATAAAAAATCTTCGATCAACAAAAAATTAAATTGTCAGATTAACTTGATAATAAAGCGAGATATTTATATAAAAAGTGAGGGTATGAAGAAATAAAATCAGTAATTATAGTTCCGTAAAAAAGTAGTTGATACAAGTAAAACAGTTCGTATACATATCTTCCAGAATACGCCCCCAAATGCCCTGGTACGGCCGAAAGTGGGGAGAGTCCGCTCTCCCTCTCAAAATGCTCTGACATGGCCATGCGTATATAGCCTCTGCCAGGGAAGTCCTACTCACTGCCTTCTCGTGGCGGGGGTGTTGTTTACAAAAATGAGAGGACGAAAAGCGAATGTCCGGCGCTTTAACCGGACCCCAAACCAATGGTGCACATGGGCTCCAGTATCCTGAAGGAACAAATGGCGTATGAACCAATCGTTGGTCACCGGCTACCATGGGACTGCATCTCCTTACGATGCTCCACTGCCCTGTGGGTCAGACGTTCAGGTCGAAGGCTCGGGGTGTGGCCCCCTAAGAAAACCACCTGCTTCGGTTTGGGCACCCGAGCAGTATCACAGCCCTCACACAAATCAATTGAGATTCGTGTGGCGCATATGTATTTGGTGCCTCCATGTACCTATACTTATGTGTTAAAATAAATAAATAAAACTTCCAGAATACTGAGTTAACAAATATAAAAACGGAACAAATAGATCCTGAAAAAAATTGCGAAAATCATCTCATGAACAGATGGTCACAACAACCCGACACCCTATAATTTACTTCATTTATTTGCTCGCACAGTTTACCAGAGCAAAAAATCAGTTAATCTTGTTAAGATTTTGAGCAAGTTACACAATCTAAAGAGGGAAATAGGCTTTTAACTTACTGTAGTTGTCTACATATCTGGTATCGAGAGTAAATAATATAACTCAAAAGGCACGTTGTATATTGTTGAGCTAAATCCCACTGTAAACGCTTGAGATATCATAAAGTTACTTATAACGATGTAGATGAAGTGAACTTCAAATTTCTGACTAAATGTTTGAAAGACAAAAAGTTTAGACAATAAGCTATGGCTGAAATGCTAAAAACTAATTTACAGATGGTAGTAAGTGCGCTGACTACCATGGAGCTGTATCTCCTAACATTGTTCCACTGCCTTGTGGATTGGACTTTTGGGTCAAAGCCTCGGGTGTGGCCCCCTAAGATAATCACCCGGGCAGTATCACAGCCCTTACATAAGTCCATGATCACTACGAATTATTATTGTGTGGCGCGTATGTACTTGGTGCAGTCAGTCAGTCAGTAACAACGCAGAACTTCGTATGTACGTACATCAATTCGAGTTGCCACACCACGTTAGCACCAAGATGAAGTTGTCGATCCAAATCCCGTGTGTTCGAACAGATGAATAAATAATAAATATTCCTATCAAATCCAGATATTAACCGAGGAAGTTGAGAGTAATAAATAATTGCAATGTAACCATTAATTTAAAGAACCGAATATTAAAATAGAATGGAGTATGGGTTTACTGACCAGCAAACATTGATAGTGAGGGTATTGATTTCAGTCTACTCATCTTCAGGGAGGCAGAACATGCGTGCCACCGAATACGAATATATGTAACATAAGACTTCGTCCTGCCTCTACATTATTACCCCCAATATTTCAAAATTTATATTCTCATCGTGCCCACTAGATGCCTGTTAACTTAATTGTCTGAGAACACTGCAAAGAAACGCAAAAACAGTACATCCAAGTCTACGTTTTAAAAAGACCGACTATCTGCTCACCACACTGCTTCTTAATGTAAGCATCCCTGGACTTCACTTACCTTTATTCCCAACCACCATCTGCTCGTTGCAACGCAACCTCCTTATAGCGCGCCAATGTTTACAGTCTTCAGTAATAAGGATTGTAGGTTGGTGGACCTGTGTTAATCCTAACAGATTGCCTTCCAGTGAAGGTCCAGTTTCTCTTTGAAAATATTCACTGATGGGGCTGATACTACTTGTTCGGGCAAGGCGTTCCAATCATTGACTACTCGATGAGAAAAACGGAATCCCACTTTAAGTTTATTAGATCACGGTTTATGAACCTTCTTACTATGACCTAGGAGATTATTAGTGCTGAAGGGAGCAAAAAGATAAGACATATTAATACCCAAATCATTATTAAAGATACGAAATGCCAGTATAAGGTCACCTCTAGACCTACGATACGACAAGGGGAAAAGGTTTAGATGTTTTAAACGCTCATCGTAAGGGAGTTTAGAAGGACTCTTCACTAATTTTGTTCCCACACGCTGGACACGCTCAAGTGAGGTAGTATCCTTTACCAGACATGGGCAATCTGCTTGGATACAGTACTTTAAATGTGGTCTTACATAGGTGGGATATAAAATTCGAAAAATTTCCTGGTCAAAAGATTTGAACGCTCGGTGAAGTGACCATAACGCACGAAAAACTTTGACAGCGGCTGAATTGAAATGCGTAGTTGCTTTTAGGTCACGACTTATTATTACTCCTAAGTCTTTATATTCTTGAACTCATGGAAGAGGTTTACCGTCAATAGTATAATGGTAACTATTGCCGTGACTGATGTGCATAAGCACACTCTTCCTAGAATTGATCTCTAAGCCCCAACCTCGAGCCCATCTAACTAAATCGTCCAAGTCAGCTTGAAGATTCAGATGATCAGCATCGCTTTTTAGTGTTCTCCAGATTTTTACGTCATCCGCAAATAATAATGTCGACGACCTAAGCAACAGCGGTAACTCATTTACGTAGAGAAGGAAGAGCAGAGGGCCTAAGATGGTACCCTGGGGTACATCATTTTTGACCGGCTTCCAGTCGGATAGAGTCCCATTGACCCTCACTCTCTGTATGCGATCGCATAAGAAGTTTCTTATCCACTCCCGTTCAGTACCTATTATTCCGAAGCTCGTGAGCTTCTGCATAAGACCTAAGTGGGAAACCTTGTCAAATGCTTTGCTAAAACAATGAATATCACATCGACAGACAGACCTTTATCTAAGGCTGCTGTCCAATCCTCTCTCGCAATAAGTAAGTTAGTAAAGCATGAAGGCTTGTCACGAAACCCATGTTGCTCAGGAGCTAACAGATTGTGTGAATCTATGTGGCTTAGCAACCTAAACCGAATTATCTTTTCAAGTAGCTTAACGACTATGCTAGTCAGACTGACAGGCCGGTAGTTAGATACGATCTTTCTCTGACCATCCTTAAATATAGGACTGAAAATAGCATCTTTCCAATCCCTAGGGAGTTGGGCGAGTGAAAGGGACATGTTGAAGAGTGTCATGAGCGGTTTTGAAATAATGTCCGCAAGAGATGACAGCAGCCGTGGATGTAACCCGTCAGGACCCGGTATCTTACAAGGTTTGAGGTTAGTTATTAACGGAAGGGCAGTTTCCTCAGTCACCTGTACAGATTCAATGTCTGGTATCTCGGTGTGATTGAGAAAAGTATTTTTTTACAATAAACGTAGAATAGACTTCGCTAAAATAGTTTGAAAAAGTCTCAGCTTTGGCCCGATCTGATTCAGCTAGTAAATCCGAATTATCGTGTAACAATAACGGGGGAATACCATCACTACGGTTCCTTCGCCGTTTAACATACGAAAACAATCGTTTTGGACAAATACGGCTATCATATGCCAACTATCCTTCGTAAGTAGTACGGGATTTAGATATGCTTTTCTTACAAACATTCCGGAATTTTCGGTACTCACGCTTAAATGATGCATGACCTGTCAACAAGAATAAGTCCCAGAAGTGTTTACTACTATTTAACTGCTTCCGGGTCTCCATATTAATCCATGGAGGGCCATGTGATGGCTTACGTTATGACCATGGGATAAACAGCGACGTTAAGGACTCGAATGTAGCCTCAAACTTATTCCACTCGTATTCGATCGGTCCATCTGCGTTAACCGACCAATCAGCCGTGATAGCATAGTTTCTGATTGCCTGAATATTAGTCCGCCAGATATTGGGACAGGGTGAAGCAGATACAAATCGTATACAATGTGTCCTAAACTTAAAGTGAAGTACAACGTGATCACTGTTCACTAGTAGGGGAAGGTGCTGAATATCAAAGACATCCTCACAAAGGTGAGTAAGGACAAGGCTCGGCAGTGATGAATCATGTTTCAAGTCAATATGTGTCGACTTTGCGATACATTGGACAAGTGCACACTGAATAACGGTTGATAAAAGGTCGCTACCAAAACCTCCACCTGGAGCTGTAAGCTCTATCCAGTTGATGTGCGGTGCGTTGAAGTCCCATATGATGAGGCAACATTCTGCCATACTCCAAGAACAGATGTGTCTTAGGATAAAGTCGTCAGCAAGACAACACGGACTACGGTCATTCCTTCTATAGTCACTAATCCATTTCTAGATTTAATCTTACAACATGCTACCTCATATGTATCACTAACCTGAGCCTCCGATATGATTGATTGATATTCGAGTCTCACCAACATTATTCACATTCTTTTGTACGAAAATTTGCCTCCTGTCTTTATGGCTATTGTGACTTATAACAAATCGACCTAAATGAGCAAATTATTACGGTAAGTCATGCAACATTTGTAGCAATTTGATCTTGGATGTAAACTGTCATAGCTTGTGTAACATATTGTTATTTGCAAAAAATAATCATTATATGACGGAGGGTGGTGTGTATATCTCGTCAACATCATCATAAGATCAAATTTAAGTCAGATTGTTGGGCCACTAAATGTATCGCTTACCGTAGAATTTACTTGCTGTCTTGTTACTGGATTTTATTCAAAGGAGTCTGTTAGGCCACTCAAAACTGTAGTGAACACGGTGGATAAGTCTAATTTTACTATGCTTCAAGTGTATTTCCGCATTAACTTTTTACTCTGAGTTTCTGAAGATGTGTCATGATCATAAAATGTAGATTATATACTTTGATTAACTAATCGTCTATTAAGATTTGAAACTTGGTTGAAAAACAGGAGATATGAGTGAAGAAGGGCAAAATTCTTGTTTTTGTAGCTCAAAATCCGAAAGAAAAACACCAATAAGTAACATGAACTTTCAGAGGGAAGCACCGTTGTTCATTTGCTACAATGGTTATGATTAGTCCCCATGAGTTGAAAGGTCTTCATATTGTAGGGTAGATGATGTTTTTTGGAGATGTGAGAGAGTCTTCAGAGACCACAGAGCCGATCAGACATTTGAAACTCGGGCGACATTTTATATGTAAGCGTAGAGTGTATGGTATTAGACAGGTAAAAGATAAATGATTGCTGAAAAGAGAATATACAACCAAGATCCGACTGAATGAAGTGTAGCTTACTGGAAAAGATTTAGATGATACGTTTTAATCTATTGCATTTTTTAAATGCAAGAGTAGATGCCTCTGCACACATAGGGATTTGCAAAAATGTTGTCCAAAGAAGCCTAAAATGAGTTTGATGAAATGTGAAGCTCATATCTGCAGGGTCTTCAAAGCTCCCTTCAAAAATAGTAAAGAACGGATCCTAACTGTGTGTTTGAACGGTACATTTATCTGATTGGGGCATAACTTTTCTTAAGATGCATGATACCATACTTGCGGTTAAATAGTAACTACCGTTTTTCACTCCACATCGATAAGTTGTGAAGGTTATTTTGTGTTGAGGATATACTTTTACCCAAAGTTGCATATTAGTTCGAGATCGTCAGTGTATAAGTGTAGTTTTCCGAATTTCGTGATTTTAATAATATCCTCTATGTGGATGAGAAACGAGAGTGGGTCTGGTACACCGAAGAAAGCTATATTTCAGTGGTAATCCAAGAAGAAATAAATAAGTTATACGGATGGACTGTTTTGTGGAATTTGCCACTTAATGTTGACAAAAGTGGATTTATTCCCATTGACCGCTGCCTTAACCTAAATCTGACTATGCACAAGCATACACTAAAACCTCTCAACACTGTTCGTGACTTGGGTTTAAGATATAGCAACAGTCTGAACTTTTCTGAGCACATCGCATCTCAAGTATCTAAAGCTAGAAAGCTCATCAGATTCATAATGATATACTTCAATAATATCGAATCGAGATCATCATTATTATACAGAAAATGTATCTTACCCATTCTTGAATATGGTAATCGCAGGCATAATGACCTGATTAAAATTGAAGGTGTTCAAAGAAGGTTCACCAAAGCTGTTCTGGGGTATTCCAACAACAAAGACTACCACCAAAGATGTCAACAACTCAAATTAGAACCTTTCTGGATCAGACGTATCAAATTAAACCTTGTCTTTATCTACCGGCTTATTAACGGTGTTTCCTACTCTTTGGTATCCACCCCTTCATACTCTATGATATCGTCCCACAATCCACGCAATAAGGAAAATATTCTAGCGATTCCAAGAACCCACACAAACTTACGCCATAATTTCTTCTTTATTCACTACTCAACCATGTGGAACGGACTGACAGTGAACCTCCGTTGCAGTGAAACTACAACCCGGTTCAGAAGTCTCCTTGATGATCTTCTTTCCGAAAGTGGATTGTGTCACCTATTGAATATCAACGTATTTAATAATGATTTATACAATCAAGGTCCGTCATCCATCTAATTGACTGAAAAGCAAGATGCAATCCCTGAAACTTTTATTTTATTTTATTTCTGTTCATCTTAATATATGAAGTCTGCTTATGTTCGTATCTAAAATTATTACTGTTATTATCATCATTATTGGTCCCTCGACACATAAGATATTCTTTTCATCTCTTCTTATCCTTCCGAACATATATTATTCATAAATATCCAAAGTCTATAACTAAAAACAAATTATCTCACGGCACACTTAAATAAATTAACTTCTCCGATTCATTTTATCTTCAC